GCAGTAAATAGCCACATACTGTAACTTGCCCATCAACAGAAAAATGTGCTATTGGTAGTAAATTTATTTACACAACTTTGTGATTCTTGAATGGCTTTGCTTCATAATCCTTCTGTACAATGCACACAGTTAGGATCCTAAAGACAGAGGTATGCATCCAGGTTTATTGCTTCAGAGTAGCTTCAGAAATCTCTGCCATCCAATAATGTGAAGACATTTGCAGCAGCCAAACATGTGGATTTCAGTTTCAAAGCCAGTGGTTCTCAAACACCTCTGAATTTTAGTTCCTGGAATATTTTGCTCTGGAATGTTTGAAACTGGAACTCCTATTTTTAAAATGCAACTATGGATTTAACTCCACAGTGTACAGTTATATTAGATCTGCCATTTTCTCTAACTTTGTTTAAATCTGCACTGGCCAGGGAAATTAAAAGGTTGACACTAACGTGAAATCTGTTCATCTATAGAGGATGTTGAGAAAGAATGAGTGTGGTGTGTGTGGGGGAGGCAAGTGTCCTTTCCATTGTTTCGATTTCTGATTTGGGTTAACTTAAAATGACAGACACACTCTGTAGTCTCCTGAAGGTTGGGGGGTGTTCTGGGGGTGGGGTGGAGTGTCTTTGAGGATCATGCATTCTGGAATAGTGTCAATCAGGTGAAGACAATGATGAGCTTCTGTTGAGATGCCTCCGCCACTCATTTATAAAGCAATATGCTCAGAAATGTGCCATCTCTTTCCAAATTAAAGAACAAATATATATGGAAAGGAACTATAAATATATTTCAAGGTTGGATATTTAAGAACATTCAAGATCACCAAATCTGTCTACGTCCATCTCTAACATTCCTACTCTGACTCTGCCCCAGCTCACATGCTGCTGAATTCCTTGGCCATAGCTTCATCACCTCTATTTTGTCTATTTCAACACCCTTGAATCAAATGTCTCCAATCCAAAACACTGTTGCATGCGTGCTAAATTCTGCTACTTCCTCTGAACCTATTGTCCAGGAGCAGTGCCTTACTTTGTGTTTTCCCATCTGGAGTTCTAATCGTAAAATTCCCATCCTTCTTGCCAAATACCTCCATGATATTGCCTCACCCATTCTCCAACTCCAGAACCTCCAGATCTCTGTTCAAAGAAAGTGATGGAGTGCACATTTTTGTTGCTCAATCACTGGTGACCATGTCATCAGCTCCTTGACATTAATTTGTCCTAAACGTCTCCACCTTTTACCCCTCTCCTTTAAAAGGATCCTCTCTAAAACCTACCACTTTGTCCAAGTTTTTAGTCACCTGTCCTAACCTTTCATGTGACTCAGGGTCAAATTTTAATTAATAATTGTTCCTGTGAGCACTTTTGAGATATTTTGCTCCCTTTAAAGGTGCTATAGAGATACAAAGTTGTTTAAAATGTGGCTACATCTTGCAGTGGATTTGTCCTGTGTTGCTTCTTAATTGATATGCTGATATATCAAACACTTCATGTTTGCCAACTTTGATAACAAAACCAAGAATTTCATTTCTACAAATGCACCAGCTTAATTACAGCACATAAATTCAGGATGCAGCCAGTCAACACTCCTGTACAAGTTGCCAACAATGGTCACACAAGCTCGTTTTGTCTCAGTGTCAATGCTCGTTCTTTGAAAAGAAATTAAGAAAATGGCCTAGACCCAAGGGCAGGGGTTTTGGTTTAAGGCCAAACTGACATGATTGACTTTCAATGCATCATGTGGCCTCTCTCTTTGAATCCAGAGTTCCACAGGTCATTTTGAATGATCAATGGGCCATTTGGACAGGTTCAGGCAACCAGCAGATTGCGAAAGCCCGAACTGAGGTTTCTAGAAAGTATTTCCTGGAGTGAATTCCATTACACATGGACCTCTGTTTTCCCAAGGGAGAATACTGCTACCTTTGTAATAAAATCTGAAAAGGAATTTTATATTTTCACACCGACTTTTTTTTGCTTCATTCACACATGGGTTGCACTGGTTGGGCCGGTATTTATTGCACATCCCCAATTGGCCTTGAGGTGGTGCAGTGAATACCACCTTAAACTGCTGCAATCTATTTGGTTTAGTGTAGACCTGCAATCCCATTAGGGAGAGGATTCCAGGATTCTGACCCTATCCCAGGAGGTAGTGGTGGTGGGTTTGGAAGGTCCTATCTAGAAAGTCTTGGTGAATTTCTGCAGTGCACCTTGTAGATGGCTCACACTGCTGCTGAGCTTCGGTAGTGAAGGGAGAGAATGTAAATTTAGTGCCAAACAAGCAGGCTGCTTTGTTCTGGACAGTGCCAAGCTTCTTGAGTGTTGTTGGAGCTGCAAGTGGGGAATATTTCATTACATATGGTGAACAGGCTTTGGGGAATCAGTGATGAATTACTCATGACTGGACCCCTTGCCACACGTAGTCTTGCTCCTTTTCAGTAACTAAATGCCTAACCAAGTTCTGCTTCTGGTAAATGGTAACTTCCAGGATTCTGATAGCAGCCGATTCAGAAATTCTCCAACTTACACTATTACCCTGCAGCATGCTCAAATGTCGGGTGCTGGGCAGAAGCAAAGGTAGATCTCAGCTGCTGTTGAAACAGTCAGCAAATATGCATTACTAACAAACAATGGTGAGATACACAGGTTCCCTATCCAATGTCCTTTTTGAAATGTAAATGCACATATAGACAGCCCAAAAAGGGACTCCTAATGGGCAGCACTGAGCTGTCTTCAAACTGAAATTCTTGACACCATAACATACGTTTGACAGCAATGCCAGGGGCAACCAGGAGTTCAGAGCACCAAAATTTCCTTAGTTAAAAAAAGGATGAAGAAATCTGGTAACAACTACAGTTGCTGAACCTTCCACTGATGACATTATAAAACCGCCTGTGGTAGCACAGTGCTGCAGTACTCAATTTCCACCTGGTAGGCAGTGCAATCTAAAAATTATTTTCTATTGATTAGTGCACATGCTTTTTCAATAATCACATCAAATTCCTGAAAATTATTTTTAACTTCTGATCTGATTGCACAGGTAATATCTAACAACCATTCTCATGGAAATATTGCTCATAGTTTTTCAGCTCATTTTAAATCAATGCATGCAAGCAGATTTCACAATACATGCTGTTTCCCCAGAGGGGAAAAGGGAACATTTTCCAGCCACTGGCATAAGCCCATCATGCTATTTCCCTCTGGATGTCAGGGGAATATTTTCATCAGGGCTACATAAAGACCTCAGATATTACTCAGACCAAAGGAATTTTCAAAGTCTGTTTGCACACAATGCTAAGTCTGGGAATGGCACACAAAGCAAGCTAATTCTGAATTCATCAATTTAGCCGCAAAATAGAAGGAGAGGCAGTCTGCTTCCGGAATAAGGCAATTCCAGTCTTAGCTGCAAGGTCAGGGGTACTAAACCCATCGCTCTTTCAGATTAAATAAAGCACGGAGCCATTTATTGAGAGATTTGAAGATCCACTGAAGCAGGCACAGTAATTGAATAGTGCCATTGATCTATCTGACTAAAAATTCCAAATCTTGGCACAGAAACATGCATTCAAAATGCAAGACATTGGGTCACTTCCCTCAAGCTAGATCACACATACTGGTTACAATATTCATCAACATATCTTGAACTCCATAACTCTGGTAAGAAATACATGAACCATAGCACAGATAAACATCACAGCGTAGCAGTACTCAAATACTGCATAGCTTACAAATTACCTCAACATACCAAAGCTTGGCAGCTGCAAGTCACCCTTGGGTTTTTACAGGAGTTTAAGTGCACAGTTCTCAGTGGAATCAGTCGTCTATTAACCATCTGATAGCTAGTGCAATAAGATACACAAATTAACAATCAATCAGTTGAAAGTTGAGCAGATCAGCAAGTTTTGCTGAATTTATGAGCTCTAGTTTTATTGATTAGCCAGCTAGTTTCACTCAAAACACAGGGTCCCGACCCGAAATGTCAGCTTTCCTGCTCCTCTGATGCTGCATGGCCTGCTGTGTTCCTCCAGCTCCACACTGTGTTATCACAGAATTGAGAATGATATTTCTCGGTGCACAAATAAATGGGAAATCACTGGCATCAACATCCTACTGATGAACTGCATTATGATGGGAGAAAGATGTTGTTTACTGTTTCAAATTCAGTGCAGAATGGCTTATATTGAAACATTAACAGGAGGGATTTCCATTTCTCAGATTGCCCAGCCGCAGTATAAATTGGGACACATCCTGTCTGCAGAATGTAGCATAGTTCATAATTTATACACAATTTAAACATGGTGAGTACGGTGCCCATTTCTTGATGAATTAGTTGCACCTTAAACCAAGTGGGAGTTAAAAACTGCCGGTCAATCTCTCCCGATGATTACACTTTAAGCTTAACCTAGAGAAGGACTATATGTGCTGCCATGCAAAAACGCAAGTGTTCTCCTAGATGGAGGAGCTGCAGTGCAAATTAACCGGTGTAAATAGGGCACTGCCTGGCTTAAAACCACAATGCGGCAAAAAGGCTCCAGGGATATGCTGTCCCAAAGTTTAGCTGTTCAAAACCAAAGAGCCGGAACTAAATTTGACGAATTTCTGCAGAAGAGATAAATGATAATTGGATTTGATGAAGTTAAAAGAATTATTAATACGAGAGCCCTCTTGAACAAACACTAAGTCAGCAGTGTTTCTTGATCACACTTGAGTCTACAATCTTATTAAATGATAGAACAGACTTGAGGGCCCAAATTGCATACTCCTGTTTCTATATTGCAGGTTCATTAATTTTCTATGCGCTGAATACTCTGGTTAGTCTGAATAGTCATTTGTCTAGTTACTCATACCTCAAAATGAAAAAGCAATTGTTTATGAGCATGCACACTCATCCAAAATGACTAGAGAATGTTCAAAGTTTCAACATCCAAACACTCTTCATCCCTCAATGTTTTAGCATTAATCGCACTCACATTAACGTGATCTGCAGGTGCAAACCAAATGTGAACCTACCCTGACTGGGGGGCTACGTGCCTGCACTCGATGAATGCTCTGAAGATCCCGTAACGCGGTGCCACAGTTGGGGACAGAAATAGCTCCGTTGCTTTGTACCCTGGTGGTACCATTTACGTTGTTATTGCCGTTGACCCCGCTGCTACCCGGCCTCCTCGGCCGGTGTTTGATACCATCCAGTAGTCGGACCAGCAAGATGTTGGTGGGGAGTTCATCAACGCTGCAGTCCACCAAAGTTCGGCACTCCGGGCAGCGCAGCTCGCTCCGGGAGTTTAAGATGCCCTGCAGGCACCGTCGGCAGAACGTGTGCTGGCACGGCAACACTTTGGCCGTGGCATCCAGTCGCTCTAAGCACACGGGACACTCCAGCAGGTCCAACAAAATGGATTCGTCCATTGTTTCGTGCTCTGATTCCAAAGCTTCAGTCCGAGGCAGGTCTCCAGAGAAACCTCATCGTAACAAAGGTTCCGCTGAATGATGAACAACCTGATACCCAGCAAGCTCAGTCACGTCACATCCATTCCCTTTCACTTCAACTTCAAATAACTGTTTCAGAAAGCAAACAAACACATAAAAATACTGGGTTACAGGATTATGGCAGTACAGAATAAGCATCTTAAAAAAATAAAGTTCCTGGCCATAAAAAATTAAGGAGAAATAAGGTGATTATTCTTCCCCATTTACTGCATCAAGGTTACATATAATGATTTGCTCTTTCCCAAAAAAAATCTACAAAGAGGTCTCCTAAATAAACAACGTAGTTTTAATAGCAATAGGGTTACACATAAGCCATAATGCAATGCTACTCCTTCGTCCAAAATAATTTAAAAGTCAGTTTTTTTCGGGGCTGCGAACGACAGCATATAAGTGGGACTAAACGTTTAGCTCCTGAAGAATGCCGACAGAAGCAGCAGGATGGACCGAATGGTTCCAGATAAGACCTCCAGTCCCTTCTGCAGAGCCCGGCAGACCATCAGCTGATTATTGGGGAAGCCGCGCACACAAGCAGCAGTGAGAGGGGGGAAAAAACCAGCGACTTACCCCGAGTGGAGCGAGCCGCGAATGTGTGTCGCTGCATTAACAATATCCCAGTCTTTCAAACAGTCTATTCCCCACCCTCCCCGCCAGCTCTACAAGCTCCAATCCCAATCCAGCAAACCGCAGGGAATGACATGACGCCAGAGCGAATTACTCACTCGGCAATTTAAGGGGGGAAATATAGCCCATAGCACCGCCACCTTCACCACAACTCCCACGTTACCCCCCGCCCCCACAACCAACGGAAAGGGCTACACATTCTCAGGCAGCTGCAATGTTTCAAAGGTGAAGAATTGTTCGCCAGTGTACAGGCAGATTCACGGGGCAACTCTGCAGATAAAAAGTGCAGAAGAAGCTGCCGGCGACTGTTTGAGGCTCATTGCTGCAGCATCGCAGAGGCGGCTGGTCACAGACAAATGGCCCAAGGCTTGTGGATTTGAACCAGATCCACTCCCATTCGTTCACTTACTTCTGAGTGAGATGACTTCCCAAATTAAGGTACATTACACACACAACACAGCGCTTAAAAAGGTTTAACACACTTGACTACACTGCAACATAATTTGGACAAACTAAATTCCGAGAGAACAATAATCATGTCTTGGAAATATTCCTAAACTCACTGAGATTACAATCAATCTTTTGGGAATTGTGACAAAAAAAGAGATGATTTGAAAGCTTGACACTAATGGGCGTGCTAATCAGTGGGGAAGAGTGACTGAGTTTCAGATCTCCCCTCTGCCAATGTGTCCGCCTTTCAGCACGGTATCGAGCTGCCACTCGAGATTTTTGGGCACTCGGTTAGAAAGGACCGGGGTGGGGTGGTGGAGTAGGGTAGAGACTGGGTGGGGGGG